TGGGTCTTGATTACAATTCGACTGGGCTTTGTAATCATTTATTTAAACCAGAGTAGCGAGCGAAACATGATTGATATACCTGGTTGCAGTGAAAGAACAAACTTTAATCTTATTATGTTTTACTATACCATACTTTACTGATCATTTACATTCGTGACGGTCGAAGTTAATAGCTTTTATACGTCCAGTATGAGTATACATATTGTTTGGAAATAGATTTGGCTAACGCTTGTTTATAAAATTGCGAGTCGACTCGACAAGTACAATAGGGAATTGTATAAACAAGCGTTGCCGTTGGCCGATTGTCTATCTAGCCGAACACAAAGACACTTGCAGTTTTATTTCCTTTCTAATTGTAATTGTAGTCCTCTAATTGTAAAACAAATTGAATTCTGAGTATTCTTAGCCATCTTAGGCTTGAAATACAGATGTCTTGAAAATGTCTTCTGCGAAGAATCGGCCGTGAAGAACAATCTCGTTCCCCGAGCCTGCGATCCTCGGGAAATGAGATTGCCGTGAGGAACTGAATCGGTCAAGAATTTTCAAAAAAGGCCCTGGGAACGAGGTTGTGAATCGGTTCGCATCACTGATCAGTGGCACAGAGTCAGTGGTTCGCATGCGTTCGTCTGCTGTTTTCCATCGCCTTCGCATAAGCTTCTTTCATTGCCCCCTTCCATCGTTTCACATACTGTGTGTGGTTGCCAGTGGTTGTGGTAGGTGATAGTCCGAAGAGATCTATTGGTAACCGTGGAGGGCGGCCGAATAGTAAAAAGAATGGCGAGAACCCGGTAGCATTGTTCACTGTGCAATTGTATGCATGAACGACCTTATTTACCGACATATGCCATTTGCTTTTCTGATTTTCTGGTAAAGTCCTTAACATAGCCAGTAACGTCGATTGAATCGTTCAGCCTTGCCGTTGGCCTGAGGATGGTAAGGTGTTGTTCGACGTCGACGAATTCCAGTGAGCTTTTCTAACTGATTGAGTAGATTGTTTTCTTCTCTCTCTACCTTGATCATGTAGTATATGAGCAGGGAAACCAAACCGAAGGATGAAGTCATTATACAGTTTTTCTGATGCGGTTGTACTCGATTTATTTCTAGTCGGATAAGCTTGTGCAAATCGAGTGAAATGGTCGACGATAACCAATATGTATTCATATCCGCCAGAACTTTTCTCGAGATACATGTAATCGATTGGTATCAATTCGAACGGAGAACACGTTGTTATACTACATAGTGGTGCACATGTTGGTCGAGCAGGTCTACGTTGTTTGGGACAACCGCAAACATTAGTAACAAAATGTATTATTTCGCGTTCCATATTAGGCCAATAGAATCTTTCTCTCGCTAATTGTACCACTCTCTCTGCTCCTAAATGTACCATATCCTGATGCAGTTCTTTGTAAACCGTAGGGAGAAATTTTCTTGGCAAAACGAGTTGTGTGTATGGACCGCTTTCGTGACGTAGTAATCCGTCCTTTCCAATCTTAAGTTTATGCCATTGCAGCAACAGGGTCTTGGTATTGGATACAGGGCCGTAGCTAAGCATGCATCAGTGGCGGCGGAACAGGGGGGGCTAAAGCCCCCCCAGAAGTAAAAGTGGGGGGGCTAAGCCCCCCAGAAAATTTTGTTTTCTCTGGAAAAATTTTGATAATTAAGGAAACATGTAGGTTATTTTTGGAAAATTTAGGTATAATGGGAAAAATTTGGGATATTTTGTTTAAAAATCGAGTATTTCCGAAAAAAAATTTTGTTATACGTCCGGAAAAATTTTTTTCATCCCTTTTCTTGTATATGTCCGGAAAAATTTTTCTACCCCTAAAATGGTACACTGACCGAAATTTTTTTGGCGACGGGGGGAGGACGTCATGGAAAAAAAATTTAGCCCCTCCAAACTGAAATCCGTTCCGCCGCCCCTGGCATGCATAGTTAGGAATAGGCAAAATTTCCGAATAACGAACGAAATTTCCGAATATTTCATGGCATACGAAGTTACGAAGGTGTCAGCTATCCTGAAAATGAAAACGCAATTTACAAACAAAAATTAAATACTCATATTTTACGCACAGACATATTACAGAAGCGTGCAGTTCTGTAGGAAGTTCTTTTTGATAAGGGGGAGGCGAGGGCCGAAGGCCCGAGAAAATTTTTAAATTTAGAGTCTCTGAAATGCCATTTCGTGGACTTTGGGGGAAGTTTTGACAGAATTCTGATGGTCAGAATACAGAGTTTTAGCACGTCGAAATCTACAATTAATTTGCTTACAATTTAGAAGAACTAATTTTTTGCAGTTTGTTATGGGTAATGTAGCCGCTTAAAATAAATCAATTGTCAGTATTTTAAAGATATATCGAGGGCTGCTCCCTCCCTCCCGTTGCTACGGCCCTGGGAAGTAATAAACCGAAAAACATTTACCGATCTACGGTTTGTTAAATGTTATCCATGTAAATGCCGTGATTTTGTAAATCAGTTTATGCGTGATACTGACAATACAATTTTTTAATATTTTCTCTGTTTAATTAAACAACTAAAATTTTGTTATACTATTACTGCCGTAATTTTCCGAATGACCAACCTGATTTTCCGAATATGTTAATTCTAAAAAAGTGTGGGGTTAAAATTATATGTCATCCCAATTGAAGAGAATCAGGATAAGATAACTATAGCGTGCAAGTAAATACTGGAAGATTCAAAGCGACCATCAAGACCTCTTTCCACAAATAGAAGTATTGCAGAGTACCCGTCCACCAGTAACATCATTATTATCATATCATGTAGTCGACCTTATTGCCTCGTTCAAATATACACAAACTAATTACTAAGACAATGTTACGAATTGATATGATAAAGGAAATATCATGCAAGACTTTTAATGTCCAATATTATGTTAGGGACCGTTCATTATTTATACCCTAGGGGGGGGGGGGAGATTCTTATGTCATATACAAAAATCTTGTAGCCCTCCCCCCTTGATGATCTAAATGTTGAAGACCCCCCTATAAAATACTGAAAAATCTATACACCCCCCATTTGTATGAATGTTTTAATACTGTAAACTCGGAACACTGTATAAGTCAAGACCCAGAACTATTGTTTCCCTTGCATACTTTTGCTTTACAATTACGAAGTGGCTATTCGTACTGGAACAATAAGCCGAGTTTGATTTGCTATTCGTTATTCGTACTGCAGTTGGAATATTTAAGATAAACAGACCCCAACCCCAAACCCTTCGACCTTTTTCTAACCCTAACCAATAAATGTCTAATAAACTATTTGAAAGTTAGAAAAGTTGGGGAAAATTGTTTTTTAATATTTTAAGAAAAATTTCTAAGTCAAACAGAAAACCGACAGCTAAACGGCTAAAATTCGCTAAAACTATATTATCTCTATTACAACAATAACTTCCTATAATATATAAGTTTTCGCAAGTTTTTGCAATTTCTTATATAAAGTGTTTTAATAATTCCTTTGAGAAGTTGCCGTATTATCAGGGTGTGTTAAACTATATAAAGTATAACAAACTATTAATGCACATGTTACATAGAACTGTAAACTGGCATTTAGCACAGTTTTTTAGTTAATAGTTAGTTCAATTAGCCAGTTTAACCCTTTAAGTGGCAATGCGCCCTACTTTATTATTTTACTCTGTCTAACGCCAGACTATTTTACTCTGTCTACTATGCCAGACGATTTTACTTGTCAGGGGGGAGAGTGCTGCCACTCAATGGGTTAAGTATATATATATATATATATATATATATATATATATATATATATATATATATATATATATATATATATATATATATATATATATATATATACGAGTAGGTTTGTGTATACGAAACGCAAAGAGTGCTCAACATCATAAAGATAGAGCAAATGTAGAATTTCGCTTACCTCAAAATTCCGCAACAGTCTGTTTCATCAGTAAAGAATCATCAGGCGGT